GCTGACTCTGATTCCTGGGGCCCCGCCTTGCGCATCGTCCATGCGTGTTTCAGTGCTGGCTGGTCTCGGTGTCCCGACGCCCACAGGGTGGAGACACTGGCGATGTGGTGGAGCTTCAGAAAACTCGTACCAGGGCCGTTCTCCTGGGTGGGTGCTGCAGGGGTGGAGGCACCCTCTCAAGGCTCTGGGATAAAAATCAGCTGACGGAGGCAGAAATTTTAAAAAGGCAGGCAGAGTTAAAAACGTGCCCCAAAGTATAAATGACTGCCCCATGCGACCCCAGAGATGACCTGCTGCTTCTGCAGGGCTCAGGGGGCTGGGGAGGGGCAGAGGCATGGGGCGTGGCTTTTACAGGAACCCGGTGGGCTTGGAGAATGTGCAGCGGCCGGGGATGAGGTCTGCTGGGCCCGCAGACTTTCTTTTCTGTTCTCAGTGGGACCGGAAGAAAAGACTTGGTGTATGCCCGAAACTGTCCACGTCCAGGCTCTGTTCCGGCGACACAAGTTGAGTCAGTAAAAGCTCACTGGAAGGCCCAGAGCTTTGGACAGACAAAAGGGCCCTATAGAAGGCTTCTCCCTGTGCTGCACAGGTGGGAAGCAAGGGACTGATGCAGGAACTGGACTCCCAGGCAGGTGTCAAGGCCTGGCAGCTTGGCAGAGCCGCTGTCTTGGGGTGCACAGCTGGTGGGGGAGCTCCCTGCACGGATGGCAAATGCCTGTGTCCCGTGAGTAAGCTTACATTCGTGTGACCTCGGTGGGGCTCATGCAATCGGGGCAGTAATGGATTTCACAAGTCCAGTGTTGATCCCGGGGGGAACCCAGGCATATTGGAAAACCGGAGGTAGCCTTTTTGCCTGGGCCAGGCCCTCAGCACAGGCACTGCAATCCGCTAGGAAAGGAGACGTGGCTGTCTGTGAGCCTAAGCAGAGCTGGACTTGATGGGGCAGCTGCTTGGAGGGCACGGGGAGCTGGGGGTGTGGTGCCCATGTTCTTGCCTCCAGCATGCGCAATACTGATTGCCCAACACAGGCCACCAGGACCCAGCCTGGGACTGAAAACAAAGCCTCACCCAGCTGGGTCTTTGTCCTGTCCCTCCTGGACCCACAGGGCCTGCCAGAGGTGGCTGACCTGGCCCCTCCTGCCTACAGATGTCCTTCTTGCTGTTGTGTTTGGCTGCCTTTCGGGGGGTGGGGTGGGGGGGTGGGTCCAGGCTGGTGCAGCTGAGGCAATGCAGCAGGTTCTCAGAGTACAGGCTCCTGCTTCGGAATGTTCCAGAAGGACATCCAGGGGCACGCACCCCTCAGTTCAGCAGCTCGCTCTCCAACTACTTTCTGTCCCCATCTTCTGCAGACCCTGGGGTGGCACTGGACACTCAGAGGGGAGCTGATGACATCCGTTTCTGGACCTTACAGTTTGGGGAGGGACAATCAGCTAGCACTCAGCTCACAGATTCAAGTTCCTGGACAGAAGGGTGATGACTCCTGCCCATGCCCCTCCTCTGATTCCTTTGGTTCTTCTGTGGGCTTCCATGAGCTTCCATGGAGGAGTGGAGCTTCAGCTTCCTGGCTTTTTAATGCAAGACCCTTTTTCCAGGCTCTGCCAGACAGGAGAGGCTGGGTCTTGGGCAGTACCCTGAGCCCTCTCCCCCAGTGGCCACGTGAGGCACAGATCACCTTCCAGGTGTGGCAGCTGTGAATGGGCTCCGGCTGTCTCAGGACACCTGTCTTCCAGGCCTGGGCTCCCCACCTGCTCCGTTCCGAGACTCCACCATCTCCCCTGCAGGAGGAGAGGGGGCTGGAGAATTCTTGGAATCTAGAGGGAGGGTCTTCAGTGTTCCAGCCTCAAATCTGTTTCTGTTCACAGCCATGGAGCAAATGGGGTACACAGGGAGGTGGGGGAGCACCACGCCTCCCACAAAATAAATACTCCAAAGCATGGGGGGTGCAGGGAGGAGGGGTCTGTCACACCCCACAGAGAAGCATGCAGGAACCAGTACGAGCTTCTCCCATCAGTGGCTGGACACCATGTGGCCCGAGAGCCCTGGAGGATGGGTCCAAGCAGAGGGACTGTTCATGGACCCTCTGGACAGTCCAGTGGGGCTTCCTGCTAGCCACAGCCCAGTAACTTCTTTACTTAGATGCAAAGCTCCTCTGGCCCCAACAAAGTGTCCAGTGTGTTTTAGCATCCCAGGAGGTGTGGAGGGGGGAAGCACCCTGCACGGTGGTAAGGTAGCATCCTGTGGCCCTACTGAGAGGGACAGAGCCAAGTCCATGGTGGCAGCAACCCCTGCCTGGGACTGGGCCCAGAGAGCCACTGTGGGGAAGGTTCCTTTGATGCCTGAAGGATGGCCAGGAGCCAGGGAGAGAAAGAGCAAGGCGGGGAGGGGCGCGTGCTCGTGTGTGAGTGACAGTCAAGGAAGCAGGAGCAGGAGGCAAAACGCCCGAGCGCAAGGTTGCAGCAGCGTCCTCGGCTCCTGGGCCCCGGGGTTGGACTGAGAAGCAAGGGGAGCGAGTGGAAGTGGAGGAAGAACACAGCCTGCCTGGAGGAGCAGTTTATGGGTGGCTTCGTGCCATGGAGCCTCCTGTCCAAGGCAGCGGAAACCACCATCCACCCACCCAGCCATCCATCTACCTATCTATCCACCCACCCATCCACCCACCTACCCATCCATCTATCCATGCATTCATCCATCCATCCATCAGTCCACCCATCCATCCATCTGTCCATCCATCCATCCGTCTGTCCATCCAAGCACCCATTCTTCCACCCACCCACCCATCTACCCACCTACCATCCATGCATCCCATCTCCTGTTGGCCAGGGTGGCGTGGAGCCCCCACACCCCTGCAGTCCCACTGACCTCTTACCTGGGTATCAGGAAAGCCCCAGAAGGGGGCTCAGCACCAGCAGGGCTGGAAAAAGAAGTCAGGCCAAGGGGACTGATGGAGGCAACTGACCGAGCAAGGTGACCTTCCCAAAGCTGCTCCACCTCCCACACAGCCCAATCTGGTGCCAGCCCCGTGAGGAGGGACATACATCAGTGCCAGCTGCACAAAGCATTTTCTGTCTCCTGCCCCTGCCAAGGTATTTCCAGGATGGCCTGGAAGGCCAGCGTGAGCAGCCAACTCTTGGCCGCCTCCGGGGTAGGCGTGGCTTCAGAGGCAGAGGCGTGGTGGTGCTATGGGGACCTTTATTTGTCTTTTCTCTGTGTGGGGTAGGAGTTGCACAAAATGGACTTTGCTGTCTTCTGAAAGCAGAGAGAAAGGAGATTTCCGACGCTGCAGGAGGTGACTGTGCTAATAGGACCCGGGCATGTAGGAAATCGGGAGAAATAACTGCCACGGATTGAAGTCCACAGGGAGCATCCCATTCCATGAGTTCCAAGTGGCACTGCAGAATCCCCGGGCACCGTCGCAAGATGCTGGTGTAAACAGGTGCAGTGAAACGACAGACCTAGTCGATGAGCTCCAAAGACGGCTAACTTCAACAAGAGCGACAAGCATGGGCCAGGCATGTGGCCGTGGCAGTGAAACACCTGTGTCCTCCGTCAGAGCGCCTGGCTCCAGCTCCTGGCTCCAGCTTCCCTCTACTGCTGACTCTGGGAAGCTCCCCCTGTTCTCCCTGGCCCTGGTGCATTGCATCCTGCTCGCTGCCTGCCACCTACCTGTCCCCCGTTTGCTGCTGGGTGGTCTCTTCACACTGGGACACTGCGTGCCTGCAGCCACCACCCCAGCTCCCAGCAGGTGCAGGCTCGTGGTGAGCTGCAGGCTTTTCCAACTGAAGCCCAGTTGCTCGTTAAGCTTTTCAGGATGGCTGGAGGAAACTGGTCTTGTTAATTCTTCTGCTCAATTGTGGTAAAATACACAGAATGTGCAAGGGAGCACTTGAAGCATTAGCTTCAAGTGTGTGATGCAACAGCATGGCCGTCGCCCTCCAGAACTTTTCCATCTTGCAAAACCCAAACTCTGACCTCATTAAACATTAACTCCCCGTCCCCCTCCTCCAGGCCCTGGTGCCACCATTCCGCGCCCGGTTTCTTTGACTCTTGAACGCTATGTCACATAGGTGGAATCAGACCGGGGGTGTCCTTGAGTGATTGGTGTGCTTCCCTTAATAAGGTGTCTTCATGGTGCACCCATGTGGCAGCCTGTGTCAGAATTTCTGCCCTTTCTAAGGCTGATCAAGGGCTGGCATTACGGCACAGCGTCGGAGGGCCTGTTTGAGTCCCGGCTATTCTTCTACTGATCCAGCTCATTGCTAATGTGCCTGGGAAAGCAGTGGGAGATGGCCCAAGTATTTGGGCCCCTGCCACCCATTCAGAGACCTGGATGGAGTTTATGGGCATTTGGGGGGTGAACCAATGGATGCAAGATTTTTCTCTCTCTTTCCCTCCCTTTCTCTCTCTTGCTTTCAAATAAATATATTAAAGGGCTGCATAATATTCTAGGAAACTGATTTATTTTTTAAAGATACTCTTCCTTTGCAAATAAAACACTGACAGCATAAAAGAGCCTTGGACGGGCCTGGCACGTGAATCCATCACGGCTGGTTGCCACGGGACTGCAGCATGGAAGCAGAGACTTGGCCGCTGTGGCAGCTCCTGGCACAGGGCAGCGTGGTGACACTTTTGCATGGGTCCTTAGAAACGACCCGTGTCCCCTCCCCCAGGGCTCCCAGGCCTCCATGCTCACCACTGCCTCCCCTGGAATGTCTGTCTCCCTGGCCTAACTTCATCCCAGGGAGGCCCAGTGCACCCACGGCCCCTTTGAACGTCTCCCTTTCTGATGACCCAATCGCCCCCCGCCAGTGTGTGCCGCTGGTCTGCGTGGTCACAGCCCCCACCAGGCTGCAAGTGGCCCGAGGAGACAGACGCCACCTGCCTCCACTCTGTCCTGTGTATGGCTCTGAAATGAGTTCCCAGGGGGCCGTCTGTGGGCCAGGTGTTGGGGGACACAACCCCTCGGAGGCGGAAGAGACCCTGGCAGGAGAATGGCTGTGACATTTTTTTCCAACTTCATCTTTTATTTATCATTTGTGAGAGGACATGTTTTAATTTGCGTTATAATCAAAGGCTTAATGCTTTACAAAATAAAGAGGTCGACAAGCAAAAAGGCAAATGATCACGTAGTTCAGCAGGAAAACAGGAAGAGCTATGACTAGTTAGGAGAAAAGACTCATAAATCTTAAAAGTCCCCAAATCGGTAAAACAATAGTAAGTGTATAATTCTTGACAGTTTGAAAAAAAAAAAAGATTTAAAACAGTTTGATCAACACTGTATTTTGCAGCAAAACTGACACACATAGGTATTTCTTGTTTTTCTGGTTTTTAAAAAACTTTTAGATCCTACGTATAAGGGAGAGCGTGCCATATCTGTCTTCCTGGACCTGGCTTATTTCACTCCCCGTGGTGTCTGCCAGTGGCAACCATTTTGATGCAAATGATAGAATTTCATTTTTTAAAAAAGGTGTATTTATTTGGAAGGCAGCCTTACAAAGAGAGGGAGAGAGAGGGTGAGTGTTTTTTCTTAGCTCTGTTGGCCATTTGTGTTTCTTCTTTTCAGAACTGTTGAAGTCCTTTGCTCATTTCTTGATTGATCTTTTTTGGTTTTGGAGTTTTTTGAGTTGCTGCAGTATTCTGGATTTTTTTTTTTTTTTTTTTTTTTTTTGGTCAGAGTGGACAGTGAGAGAGAGAGACAGAGAGAAAGGTCTTCCTTTTGCCGTTGGTTCATCCTCCAATGGCTGCCGTGGCCGGCGCGCTGCAGCCGGTGCACCACGCTGATCCGAAGCCAGGAGCCAGGTGCTTCTCCTGGTCTCCCATGGGGTGCAGGGCCCAAGCACTTGGGCCATCCTCCACTGCCTTCCTGGGCCACAGCAGAGAGCTGGCCTGGAAGGGGGGCAACCGGGACAGAATCTGGTGCCCCGACCAGGACTAGAACCCCGGTACCGGTGCCGCAGGCAGAGGATTAGCCTAGTGAGCCGCGGCTCCGGCCACATACATCCAGTTTTGCCAGCAATATTTATTGAAGACATTATCCTTTCTCCAATTTGTGTTCTGGGTGCTTTTGTCAAAAATCAGTTGGCTGTATGTACATGGATTAATTTCTGGGCTCCCATTTCTGTTTTATTGATTGATCTGTGTGTCAGTGCCATGCTGTTTTAATTACCATAGCTTTGCAGTATGCTTTGAAGTCAGATATTGTAATACCTACAGCTTGATCCCCACCCCCACCATCCCCAGCCCAGGATCACTTTGGCAATGAACTTTACAACCACAGCTTAGCTGTTCAGAAATATTCATGTTTGTTCTTCCAGGTAGTCAGCTGGTTCTGGCTGAAGGCACAGGCACAAGGCTCTGTGTAAAGTCACTCGCTTTTGGGGGCAGATACGGAAGGAAACCACCCCGACCCCTGGAACCCCATTAGGAATATGTCCTAAATAGCAGGATGCGAGGTGACAGCTTGCGTAACTCTCAAGGCAGGGACAGCTGAGCAGAGGGTATGGTGGCCCCAGATTTAAACACCAGTTTGGGTCACTTGCCCTGCTGTTTTGATTTCTCGAAGGCCACAGGCTGGGGCTAGGTTAATGTTTCGTTTGTAGCATACACACAGCACCCGGTTACTGAGTCCACAGAGAACAAGCTGACTCATGCTTACAAAACAGAAAAAGAACCCATGTCTCCAGCCATGGCCACCCAGGGCCACACAGAGCACACACTACCCTCCCCAGGAGGACCTCGCCACAAAGGGTCCTGTAGAAAGTTCTAGTTCTCTCGAATGCAGATAAGCACGCCTCCACCCTCACCTGCAGGGCCCTCTGCTGTGTCAGGGCTCTCGGGTTTACAGACTCTGCCAAATCACTGGCCATCTCCCACATGCCCAATACACACCCCTCCCACGTGCAAAACACGCCCGCCCCTCCAGACCTCCCTTAAAAGCCCCGTCCCACGCAGAATCAGCTCAGGGGCTGGAATCTCTGCACCTGAGTCAGATCAGCTGCAGGTGAGGCGCTGTGGGTGAGTCCAAGAGAGCTGCTTGCACCCAGCACCCAGCGGTGGGCCAGGCACAGGAGCCACCCTGCAGACATTCCTGCGTAAAGGGGATGGGGGTTGGAGGCTCGCTGGAGTCTCCGTTCCACGGCGGTGTTCAGATCCTACTGGGCAGATGCTGGGAGTCCCGGTCTGACTCCTGCCTGCGCTCGGGGCTCTGGGCTCCGCCATGTGGACTCTGGGTCCTGCTCTGCGAGTCGCCCTTTCTTCTTCACAAAACAGGGCCCACGTTTGCATCTGTGTAGCTTCTCAGTCTATGTTTGGGCAGGCAAGAGGCCCTTCTGTGTTCTGTGCCATCTCTGACCCTTGCAGTCCGAACTGGCACTGTGTCGGCCAAAATTCTTGGTGAGCATTGCAGAGAGGTTCACGCCTTCAGAGACCAGACCCCCACGTCTCTCTCTCCCTTGGCCTCTGCGTAGGCTTGAAGCCTCTTAGAAGCCCTGGTGCTTTTAGCTGCCTGCTCTGAGCTGCCGCTCGGATCCTTGGGAATTGACAAAGGATTTCCCAGCCACACCCCTGGCCTCATCCTCAGAGCCTCTTTAGCCCGCACGGGCCTGCACTCCATCTTGCTCATTTTACCTTCTCTTGGTGGCTGGAGAAGCTAGGAGGTTCCAGCGTTTTAGTAGAAGCAGCCAGCAGCAGCCAGCAGGCACTTGCGGCACTCTGCCTGGAGATCACCTGAGCCACGAGGCCCGGGGTCATTTGGGTCATCTTGCACTTTGCGTATCACTGCGAGAAAACGTTCCGCGTCAGCTTTCCTGCCCTCCCGTGCACACCTCTGAGAGCACGGGATCGTCTCTCTGATTTCCTGACACTCCTTTTTGGGGGTGTCAAGCGCCAGTCCTTCTGCCTTCTCTCTTCTGGAAGCAGGGTGCACCCTGCACTGGGAGCCCCTGACAGTCACTTCTCCTGCAGATTGCACGGAGTAGCTTCCACCCACACACACTGGAGAATCCCCAGGGCACCGAGTGCCCCTGGCCCTCATGCCTCAGCGGGGCAGATGTGTTCATCCAGGCACCCCGAAAGCAGAGGCAAAATTGCAATTGAGGAGCAGAAAACCGGGGACTTCTCTTTTTCATGGGACTGCCCCCAGGAGAAGCTTCCCCGAAGATGTGGTGTCAGGGCCGAGGTAGGAGTATTTGTCCTTGAGAAAGGTCAACAGCTCATAGGAAGGTCACAGTCAAGCTCAGTGCAACTGAGGGACAGCAGGGAGACTTGGATGCCAGAAGAATCAAGGGGACATTGCCAGCTAACAGGCTACAGGGCTCTGCAGAGAGAGGTAGCCCTAATTCCGGCCATCAGGTGTTGTGAGCAAAATACCTGCATTCAGTCAGTCAACAAACATTTAGTTAGCAAGCACTATGTGCTGTCAACTGTGGGATCCAAGAGTGAACACCCCTCACAAGTTTGTCGCCCTGGAAGAGCTTACAATCTCATGGGACAGACACATAGTGAACAAGGAACAAGGGAATATCAGGCACATCATAAATGGTGTGAAAGGGCTGAAACAGGAGGTAGCCGGGGGACCTCCCTAGGTCAGGTGGCCTGGGACAGCGTCTCCAGGGCTCTGCGTGGGGTATCCGCCCTTGCTGGACCAGAGCTACTGGTTGGAGCAAGTAGGAACCTTTAAGTCAGAGGCTGCAGCAAGCGGGAGTGTTTGGACACGGATGATGGGACAGGGGCTGGAGCAGGTGGAGAGAGCTCAGAACCAGTGAGGCTTGGAACCCGCAGGGGCAGAGAGGAGCCGAGCGGCAGGTGCAGGAAGGCACCCGGCAAAGGCAGCCGGCATCAGGCCCTGTGTTCTTTTCCCCCCGAGTTGGCTGGACTCGGATGAAGACTGGTGACTTCAGTAAGACAGGGCTGATCGGCGTAGGAGCCAGGAGCCAGGGAGGGGTCAGCAGCAGCCTCTCCCGCTGCCCACATCCACCCGGCCAGGCACTGGCCCCCTGCCCCCAGGTGTACAAGGAGCACAGGATTTTGCTGGGCCCTGTGGGCATCCACAGCTCATTCTCGAGCCAGTGAGGGGCCTGACTCTTCCGGCCAGGGGTCCTTTTGCTCATTAACCTCACCAGGGAGCGAGGAGCTAGCGCGCTGCCCCGTGCCCCGGCCTTTTCACCACGCTGGGAATCCGCCCAGAGTCCACACTGGGCCCCTCTTCTTGCCCTAAATCGCCGCCAGCGCAGGCTCTGCTAGGTAGCCTTGAGCTTGGCCTTTGCTGAAGCGAAAGAGCCCGGTGCTGGAGAGCAAGGCCCGCAGCGCCGGTAGCGCAGCAGAGCCGCCCCCGGCCCGGCCCCCATCCCCCCCGCCCCCGGCCGCCCGCCTCTCCGCCCGCCCCGCGCCCCTCCCCTCGCGGGCTCCAGCCTTGGCCGCCGCCGACTGACCCGACGTGCAGGCGCGGGCCCCACCTCCTCGCCGCCCGGCCGGGTCTGCGCCGTCTCCGGCCCCAGGACCGCGGCTCGCAGAGGTCGGGTCGCCCAGGACGCCTACGCCTCCTCTGGTCCTTGGTGAGTGCCGCGGGCCCGTGGGAGGGAGACCAGGGTTCCGGGGGCTCCGGGCTCGCGTTCGCCGCGAGGGCAGCTGCGAGCCTGGCGGTGGGGCCGCGGGCTCGGGACCCGGACGCGGGGTTAGGGAGTCCGCACGTCCTATGGCGTGCACACTGCTGGCCCAGCCCACAGACGGGCAAACTGGGGCTCAGAGAGAAATGGACACCCCAAAAGGGTTGCGGACCGCCCCCTCCCCCGCCCTGGGAGCCAACCGGCTTCCCAAAGCCCCTCACCCCATTCCCGGGACTGGGAAAGGGGCCCCGTGATTGGCCGAGTCCGGAGGCCTGGCCCAAAAGCCTCCTGCGATTGGAGCGGTCTTCGCGGGGCCGCTGCGGGAGGGGCTGCGCCCGGGCTCCCTGGGCCCCGTTCCGCCGCCCGCCAAAGGGCAGCAAGAACCTGCGACGTGCGGCCAGGGGCAGACCGCGGCCCGGGCTGGGGGGCGCGACGTTGGCCGCGGCGAGTTCCCTGCCCTCGGAGCCTCTGCTTCTGGTCGGCGGATCTGGGAGGAGGGGTTGGGGAGCGGCCCGGTCAAGGTTATGGGACGAGGCTGATTCTCCTGACCCGGGAACCCGCTTAACCTTCGGCGGGAGATAGCCCGGAGGCGTTCCTTAGGCAGACGTGGGCACCCACTGAGGCACGGAGATGGAGATGGAGAGGACTCCTCCCGGCGGGAGCTGAGGCCGCGGGCGCAGGGCCTGGGTCACTGCGCTGGGGCCTGGTCCCGGTGCCCAGAGCTGGTGGAGAGGTCAGGGGTTCAGGGCATGGCCTCCAGGGGACCCTGCTGTGAAAGGGACAAAGTGTTCTCCCCCGGCCGGGAGGCCAGGGCGAGCAGCCGGGCAATGGGCGCCTTGCGGCCCAAGGCAGGGTGCTGGACGTAGCCCTTGCCTTGCTACGTCCCTGACCGTAGTACCCAGCTCGTGGGGAGCCAGGCTTGGACTGGGGGCTGGGGGCAGGAGGTCTGGGAAACCCCGAGGGTCTTCCTCCCTCCCGGGCGCCCTCCGCTTGCAACCCAGGAGGGCGCGAATGCAGCGGCTGCGGCTCCAGCTTGGGGAGGCGCCTCCCCTCCTGCACCTGCTCTGCGTGCTGCCAAAGGCCAAGGTTGGCGGAGGAGAGGTCTCTGCGGCTCCCGTGCCTCCTGGGCCCAGCTTCCCCTGCCCCTGCTTCCCTACAGCCAATAGATGGGGTTTTTCGTATCCCTTTATTTTTCCCAAAAGTAATACACGTTCAGTATAGAAAAAGAATAGAGCAGTCGGGTAAGAAGAAATAAAAATAATTACAATAATCTAAGCATATTGAAACCGCGAATCCTCTACCCAGAAACTTTTAACATTCCAGTGTAGACTGTTCCAGGCTTTTACACCACAAATGAACAACCCCCCCCCCCCCCCGAAGCACACACAATTACACACCTGCCTCGCATTGTAGTTCACCTCCTGTGTGCTGGACACTATGTCACGATGTCTGGCTTACAAGATGAGACTGTCCCATAGCAAAAATCCACACGTGTTTATTTTCTTGTCCCCATATAATTTAGAAGCGAAATTGCCCAGTTGGAGGGATTGAACCATTTTTAGGATTTTGGTACTCATTGCCACAGCAGACAGTTTGCACCAGTTTGTTTTCCATTTCCCCATAAGGTAGCAACCATGGGGTATTTATATGTTTTACATACTGTCCAATCTTATGGGAGAAATAGAACCCCTTATTTTCTTTGTTATTTCTTTGAGAATCTGAGATTCGAACATATTTTTATTCGTCTGTTGATGGTAAGATTTTTTTTCCATGTCTTGTGGCAAATGGTGAGACACACGCGGGGTTTCACAGGCTTCACAGAAAATGGGAACTTGTGAAAAAAATGCAGAAATTGCAGACGTTTCTGCAGCAAACTTAATGGATCTTTGAAGTCCGGGTTCCAAAAACTCCTTGGAGCCTCTTCATAGGATGTGTTCTTCTATGGAAATGGGCCACGCACTGTTTCACGTTTCTCCTTTAGTGTCAGCATTCCCTCAGAGTGTGATCTTTGATGTGTTTGTCTTCGATTTAAACATCGGACAGTGTTTGGAGTCAGGTGTGCATTCAGAACTAGGCTTATGGATTTGTTATTAGCTGAAGGGCACAGGGTAGTTCCTTCTGGGTGTGGTGCCTTCTCTGGGCTTTCACACCTGGGGGGCACCTGCATATCCACTGCCTTCAGGGACAGTTTCCCGGCCCTGAAGCCCCCCCTCACCTCTACAACCCCCACCCCCGCGTGCTCCCTGAGCCTCCCTCCCCTCTCCAACCCTGGCTCACTCCCCAGTTTCGCCTTTTCCCAAACATCATGAAGCTGGAATCGGAGCAGCAGCCGTGTCAGACTGGTTCTTTCCCTCGGCCGTGTGGCCGTGTGGCCATGTGACTGTGTGCGCTGAGGGTTCCTCCCTGAGTTTCTGTAGCTCACGGAGCCTCTCTTTCTGTCTCTGCGTCATCTTCCTCAGCACTTGGCATCAGCTCCATTTGGGTTTCAACCATTCTCATGGGTGTGTGGTGATGTCTCATTGTTATATTCCACATTGCAACCCATCATGAGTAATAGTGTTGAACATCTTCTTATGCATTCATCTGCTCATTTGTATGTCTTCTCTGCTGAGGTATCTGTGAATATCTTTCACCTGTCTTTCTTTCTTTTTAATTTTTTGAGAGTTAGAGTTACAGACAGTGAGAGGGAGAGATGGAGAGAGAGATCTTCTACCCACTGGTTCATTCATCAAATGGCTGCAATGGCTGGAATTGAGCCAGTCTGAAGGCAGGACCCAGGAGCTTCCTCTGGGTCTCCCATATGGGTGCACGGGCCCAAGCGCTTGGGCCACCTTCTGCTGCTTTCCCAGGCCATTAGCAGGAAGCTAGATTAGAGCAGCTGGGACATGAACCAGCGCCCATATGGGATGCCAGCACTGCAGGCAGCAGCTTTATCCGCTACACCACAGACATTCCCTCCCATTCTGTAGCTTGTCTTTTTGTTCCTGTGACAGTGTCCTTCGCAGAGAAGTGAACTCTAGCTCATCCATCCTAAATTCCATGGGTCCCTCCGTGCTGTGTCTCGAAAGTCATCGCTGAACCTGAGGCCATCTAAATTGTTTCCTGCACTTGTGCTGTCTTCTAGGGGCTTTGCAGTCTCTGCTCCACTCTGAGTTCACTTTTGTGAAAGGTGTGGGGTCTGTGTCTAGATTCATATCTTTTACGTGTGAGTGTCCGGTCATTCCAGCATCTTTCATTGAAACGCTGTCTTGTCTCCATGATACTGCCTTTGCTCCTTTGTCCAAGACCAGTTGACTGTATTTAAGTGTTATCAATTTCTCTTCTAAAATCTAAAGCCTATCCCTTGGCCAAGACCCCACTGTCTTTTACTGCAGCTTTACAGTAGGCCTTGAAGTTGAGTGGTGTCTGTCCCCCTTTGCTCTCCTTCAATACTGTGTTGATTGCTCTGGGTCTTTTGCTTTTCCACACAGACTTCAAAATCAGTTTGTTGGTATCCACAAAATAACTTGCTGAAGTTTTGATCAGGATTAGGTTGATCTATAGATTAGTTGGACTGATAGCTTGACAATATTGTCTTTCTATCCATGAACATGGAATATCTCCCCATTTATTTAGATGTTCTCTGATTTCTTTCATCATAAGATGAGTGGTTTTCCTCATTAAATCTTGGACATATTTTGTTAGGTGTAAACCTGATTTTTGTTTTTGTTTTTTGGTGCTACTGGGAATGGTATTGTATTTTTAATTTCAAATCTCTATTGTCCATGGCTGGTCTCGAGGGCACCTCATTACTTTTATGGACGGTGGTTAATTGTGAACAGACACAGTTTGTTCTTGTTTTCTCATCTGTATGCCTTTCATTTGCTTTCTTCCTTTTACTGTATTATGTTGACTAGGAATGATGAGATGGGACTTCCTCGCCTTGTCCTGATCCTAGAGGGGAAGCTTCATGAAATATGCTGTTAGCTATAGGTTTTTTGTAGATTTTCTTTCCCAATTTAAGTTCCCCTCAGTTTCTTTTTTTTTTATTTATTATTTTTTTGACAGGCAGAGTGGACAGTGAGAGAGAGAGACAGACAGAAAGGTCTTCCTTTGCCATTGGTTCACCCTCCAATGGCCGCCGCGGCTGGCGCGCTGCAGCCGGCACACCGCGCTGATCCGATGGCAGGAGCCAGGAGCCAGGTGCTTTTCCTGGTCTCCCATGGGGTGCAGGGCCCAAGCACCTGGGCCATCCTCCACTGCACTCCCTGGCCACAGCAGAGAGCTGGCCTGGAAGAGGGGTAACCGGGACAGAATCCGGCGCCCCGACCGGGACTAGAACCCAGTGTGCCGGCGCTGGTAGGTGGAGGATTAGCCTAGTGAGCCGTGGCGCCAGCCCAGTTCCCCTCAGTTTCTAATTTGCTGAGAGCTTTTGATCATGAATAAGTATTGGATTTCATCAAATGCAGTTTCTAGATCTCTTCATGTGATAAGATTTTTCTTCTCTGACCAGTTCATTCCATGAATTACATTAATTGATTTTCAAATGTTTAGCCTAGAATAAATTTCACTTAGTGATTGTATTTAATTCCTTTTATACATTGTTGGATGTGACTTATTGATATTTTAAGAGTTTTGACATCTGTGTTCATAAGAGATATTGATTTGAATATTTCGTTTTTCCTCCCTGGTTTTTGGTAGTAGGGTAAGGTTGGTCCCAGAAAGTGAGATAATTCTCTTACTGTTTTCTAGAAGAGGTCGTAGAGAATTGGTATGATTCCTTCCTTTAATGTTTGATGGAATTTATAGATCCAGGTGCTTTCTCCTTGGGAACGTTATTAATTACTGACTCAATCTCTTTCACTGATGCAGGCATATTTGGATCATCTATTTATCCTTGTGTGAGTTTTGGGAACTTGTGCCTTTCAAGAGACTGTTGCATTTCATCAAAGTTATCAAACATGCAGAAGTAGAGCTGTTCATAACAGTCCTTG